CAGTTTTATCAAATAATATTTCAGCATTACTCACACACCTACAAAAAACAATACATACATTCAGAAGCTATTCGTTAGTGGTGTGACCAGTAACACAAAGTCGTAGCCAAAATATTATTGATACACCAATAACAATGTAAGAAGTTAAAACTAGTTTTACTGATAAGACAAGTAAAAAAGTTGTCCCAAATTTTATTTGACTAATAGTAAGTTTTGGGCGTTGTTGTCGATTTGTAACTGGTTGTCGTTGGAACGAATCACATTAGCAATAACTTATTTGGAATAGTTACATTTTTAATAGGAACCCAAAAGCTTTTTGAATGTACAGGTTTTTTTACGAAAATGTAATTCGAATAAAATAAAACAATAACTTTTTGATAAAATAGTTAGAAAACATTTACATAAATACAAATATGTTGACAAAGGCGTAACTCTAGCTAAATAAACAAATACATATTTTGATTCGCGCTGATTTTGGCGCTCGTTGTATCACTATTGAACATAGACTTCCGCCAAACGTATTTTGCAATAATTTTAATCGTTCCTGTTCTGAATTGCTTGGATTCAGTTTGTGCTTACTCTTTTCAAATAGTCTGTAGCGCTTAGATCGATTTTAGATCGCTATTTTTATATATTATTTGTTTATTTGCCATTATTCATTCTTGGAACATGGTCAGCCCAGATTCACTTACTGTTAATCTTTTGTTTGCCGATGTTTTAGTAAATCTAGGCATTTTGGTTCTATGCATTATATCCTACTAAATCACACTGGTCAAAAAATTACGCTTTTATGCAATTGGGATAATATTTTTTTAACACGTTGGCTGCCGCATGAATCTCATATGAAGTACGTGCCTCCTTATATAGGGATCTTGGTCTATACAGAAAAATGCAAGCGGGTATGGAGTACTACGGTACTACTGTACTTGGACCAGTGCCGGCTCGTGGCTTGAGAGACAAGGTCGGCAAGGTATTTTTTGTCTCCCCAGATAGGTATACCGTCTAATAAAGACTTCAATCAACATAGGAGATTTTTTGTTTTCTTGTTTTTTTTTTTGTTTTTTCCTATAAATTTAGAAACTAAACATGTTTATAAATTAACTCTACTCTACGTTGTTTGGAAGTAGCAAAATGGGTAATAACGTCATCGTAAAATTTATTAGAGTTTTGAAGAGATTTTTTTTATTGACATTTGAGACAAGCTTGATATTCTCTCTTGTTTCATGGTATTTCGACAATAAGTTTTGATTCTTTTGAGGCAAGAGAAATCTCGTTCATTTGAGGCAGACGTTGGTGGTAATGAGAGAATTAATGACAATAATTTATTAATTTCGTTAACAGTTTGTTGTAATGAATTGCAGTATATAAAATTATACATATCTTGTAACTTATCCCATCTTCCGAAAATATTTGGATCAGCATATAAAACTTTTAATTCATTTTCTAATTTTATTTTATTAAAGAATGATGGATAATTTTTAATTAACCTGTCTAATAAATATCTTGGAAATTCTTTGGCGTAACTTTTAAATTTTGAATCGTCAAAGAGGTCAAAAATTTACAAATCTTCAAAATTCGAAAAACGAGTATCTATTTGCATAATAATAGTAATTCAAAATATACTCGTTTTTAGAGATCTGTTTCTGTGTCATGCCTTTGTCTTTTTTTGGGGGTTCGGAAATATCAAGCGAGTCCAAAACGTCACTGCGTATATACTGGAAATTACTATCATTACGAAAATCTGACTGAGATTTTGCACCAGTCTTGTTATTCTATTTTTGGAATGAATAATGTCAGTTAACTGATTTTGAACAACATTGAATATCAAATCGGTTTGGGTAAACACTTTCTTAAAAATATTTAAAAGTATGTTAAAAGAGTAATTATTTAATAAAGTTTTCAAACCGATTGCTTCACGGATCGAGATATCATCACTTTCAAAATCGTCACATTCAATAATAAAATCAAAAACTTCCAAAAGCTGTTCACGAAAATCTGCTACAGTGAAAACTAACCGAGATTTAAAATTCCATCGCTTTTGACAAACTGTTGGCATTTTTTTTTCGAAACAAACCGTTCTAAAATATTAGTCCGTTTAGGCGAGCTTGAGAAAAATGAAGCAAATCCGCTTAAACTGGCAAAAAAAGACGACATTCTTTAATTTTTTTACATGTATCTTGCAATACTAAATTCATTATATGCGCATGACAATGAGTAAATACAGCTTGCGGTGCAATAGTTTTAACTTTTGCCTGGGAGACCATTTAATTCAAAAGTTTTAATTCACCATTTATGTTCTGCCTTATGGCTTTTACTCACGTTTGTAAACCCTAAAAACCTCTCATAGATATTACCACGTAACGCGTATAGAACAACAATTGATAATTGTGAATGATATAATATGTCGGTAGTTTCATCTACTTCTAGTGAAAAGCAAATGGTTTCCTGAATCTCAGATTCAATAACGTTACTCGAAATGTAACTAATTGATTCTATTAATTTATTCTGGATTATTTTAGATACACCGCTAAATGGCTTCGAATCAGGAAGTAAATTAGAAAATTCCAAATCGTATTTCTTAAACATTTTTATTAGTTCTCTATAATTACTTTGATTTAACGAATGCTCCGATTCATCGTGTCCCCTAAAAGATAATTCCTGACAACTTAAAAAAATTATAATATCAATTAAACGACGTAAAACTGCATGATTATTTTTTATAATTTCGTTATGTTTAATAGCATTTTCACGTTGGGCATTATCTAATGAAACATGGATATTTTGTTTTCCAAATAAATCTAATTTAATCTGACTGTAAGTATGATCTTTCGAAATATCATGTTTATGTAAAGCCCTAAATAATTCCTTTAAATTATCGTAACCAGATTCACACCACGGATTTTTATGTTTGCCCCTATTTGTCGAAAATAAAATTCAAGGCTAACAGAAAAGTTTGTTTTTTATTTCACTCCCGGTAAGCCATGAGTACTTGCTGTACCAATTATCTGAAAATGATGTATTACTTCCCTTACCCGCACTAATATTTATAAGCCGGGACATTTTAGGCAAAGGACGCCTCTTATTTTTAATAACAATTTGTTCTTCGTATGGAATAGATGAAAACCCATTATGCAAAATATAATTTACAATATCAGACTTATCAATACTTACAGTTTCTCTCATGGCTTGCATTTTTTAGGTGTTTACTGAATTTGTTTACACTTTAATTAAAAAAAAAAGCTTCTAATATGTCAAAAAACCCTTTAACCTTTAACTATTTACGGCAGACGTAACGTATCACAGTATTACTTTAGAAAATAAAAATAAATCACAAAAAGAAATACTAGTTCGTGCACTGAGTATCACTTCAGTTTACTACATATATGAAATAACATTTCGTCCCACGCTCGCAATGTACAGTTCGCGACCAATCACCAATCCAAATGAAACATCGGCAAATTTAAATTTGCCGTACTTGGTAATTAAGTTCATATGGAAAGAAATGTATACTTGGTTGTTAATCAACCAATATTCCGTTGATTTTTACAAGTAAAGTCAAGGTTGGGATTGGCTAGCCGAAAAAACAAAACGTGCCTTTTTAAGAATTCATAGGCTGATGGATGTCTCCGATATCGGAACATCTATTTAAAAAGTGTCTACGCAGGGATCACTTAACGCTCAGATTGGACGAATTCTTTTAAAAACCATGAATAAAATGTAGTCTTTATTACTTCACAGATATTTTTTTTAGTTCACAAAAACAAATGACATCAACTGATTACCTGCCACAATTATTTATTGAAATACTGATTAAATTAAATATTAAAGTAATATATAATATCTATAGAGATGTGGGTCGGCACTGCCGACCCTGACCGGCCGCCACTGACTTGGACTGTATTTGTGGTATGTTGGCTAAACAATAACGAATAGTTAGACAAACAATACTAGGGAAAACAGAAGGTTATACCTGACAAAGAAAAACAAAAAATAATCAAAAATCTATGAACAATCAGCAATAATAATAATTGCCAAAAGACAGCGACCAGAATGGCTGGGTCATAGTGTTAAACAAAAACTGTGATAAAATTGTAAAACTGTTGACATCACGGATAAAAGTAAAAAAAGAAGACCACGTCAAAAATGGCTGAAGTCGTTAAAAAACATTTAAGATCCCGACGAGTTCAAGATTGGTAATGCTAGCGTAGGACAGAATAAAGTAGAGACACAACAATAATCCATGCAATCACAAAAAATAAATAGCTGCAATGCTACTTATTTAATTATTATTTCAAGGCGTTTTCAAAGGACATCATAGTTAAGCCTTTTAATAAAAGTCTTTGGACTAATGATGTGCCTTAACAATATAGATACTGTTTTGTTCTTAACTTATATTCGTTTTAGCTGGTTTTGCTTAACTGGTCGACTAAAGCTAACATTTTAAATTTAATCCATAATATTCATTCAGGTCGGTCAGATATCCAAGCGGGCCGGGCGGCTGTTCTCATTCGCTTCACTGCGAGTGGTTCAGCGGATGTGAGTTCGATCCCTAGCTCGGTGTACAGAAAATAAAAAGGCTAACGCAGCAGTTTAAAATTCTAAAAAAATCTGCGGGTTAGACTAGAATATGCTGGTGTCTGATCGGCCTATGGTGGAGCAGTACGGCAAGAGATAGGGGCTTGCGGCTCGGTGATACTCCTCCAAACTTACTAAGTCCAAAAAATCGAAAATTGTGATATCGCCTTTACCGATATAATCATTCATGTTTTACAAATTATGGTCAAGTCCTAGTCAAAATTAATGCATACTTTTAAGTTTGTTTCCAAAATGAACTTAAGTCCAAAATAAATTTATTCCAAAATTTACTAAGTCCTCTGGGCATGCGCTATGATTGCAACTGCGCTTGAATTGACAGTAAATTATAACCTTTCTTTTAAGAGGAACTGTTGTGACGATTGTAATATTTGGTAGTAGTTATTGTGCCTTAAATATTTTTAATAATGAGTGAAAATTATAAAAAGGCTGTTACACTTTCTTTAAATGGGCGACTTAAAAAAGAAAATAAAGATAATTGGAAGAAAACCATTAAGTCTACGTTGCGTAATAGTGCAGTGGGTAAAACTCCAAAAATTTCTTGTAAACACACTGCTTCCACTAAACTGTGTAAAGCAAATGAATTGACTCAAGCAGATATCCAAGGTTAGTGTTCTAGTTTATATTGGTAAAGTATTCTTATGTTTGGTATTTTTATTCTAGCTTTCTTCAATAAGGTAGGTATACGAACATAAAGAGGCTGCGTTGCAAAACAACTTTCTTACAAAATTTATACAAGCACAGGCTCCACAACGACATCGTAACGATACCGCAATGATTATTTTATATGAAAAATCAATAGTAATCTCCTACGAGTATGCGTTACTATTTTTTAGTCAGTTACTCAGATGTAGTGTTGCCCAAATGCAAGAACAAGACGAGACTTGGACAGTCTTGGTCTTGGTCTTGCATCAATATACCTGGTCTTGGTGTCTTGGTCTTGGTATTGCACTCCCGGTCTTGGTCTTGGTCTTGCAGCAAGAGTCTTGCAAGTCTTGCAGTTACCCGTTAGCCTATTGCTATTATTAAACGTTACTTTAAATCTTAGAACAACGTAACAGAGCAAGTACATTTTAAGCTTGAGTTAACATAGCCGTAATAAAGACCAACCAAATTAATAAATGTCTAAACAACTGACACTGGGTAGGGTTTGAAGACACGATCTAAGCGATCCGTACCTATGCTCTAAGTAACTCAGCTATCTACCATGCACCACGGAAGTCAATCTGTTTCTTAATAATTGTGTGCATTTAATAAACTTACATGAGCTAAAACATGGTTAAATTACAAAAAAAAACAAATTAATGACATAAACTTGACTGTATTTTACAACATTATCTGCCTAGAAAGGGATTCCCCATATATGAAATGGAAATCTTAAAAAGGTTGGTAAGTGGCAAAAAATCCGCATACAGGTATCAAGGGCACAGATTATTTAAGTAATAAGATAACAAACTATATTCCACTTATTAAAGCAATATAAATGTTCTTAATAATGTCAGCTCAACTTTTATATAAAAAGCTAAATTGGAAAAATAAAGAAGAGGTGAAAAAGCAATGATATTCAAACGAAATTATTTTAAACTAAGGAAATAATAAAAACATTAATTTGACAAAATAAAGTAGTAGGTACATAATATATGTGATTGGTAATAAGCTAATAAGTATATATTTTATATGTCCACTTTTCCAGCGGTTATTAAAAAGCTTGTGGTATCTCCACCGAATTTTGGTTTTTCAGGAAGAAATATTTGTAATTCCTTTTTGTGAAAAGATATTAGATGCTTCCTAAAACCTGACGTGTTTCTGTTTTTTATTTTCATTTCAACCTTTCTATGTAGGCATAATTTACACAAAGCAATTTGGGGTGCATTGAATTATTTCGAAAAACGCATCAAATTTGCTTTTAGGTCTTTCAGATCTATAATTCCAACGCTCACTACTCCGACTAGAACTATTTGAATCTTTGTCCCTCATGTCAAATTGTAAACTTGTCACTCCTGGAACATCAAGGATTAGATGAAAAATAATTATTATTACATTAGAATCAAAGAAAAGCTCCATTGGGAATGAAGTTTAGTGATGTTGAAAAAGTAACAGACATTATCTGTTATTAATTTGTCTCGTTACTTTTGAATACATATTAGCCGCACACTTTCAGCAAATTTTGTTAATCGAATGATATCATAGCACACTCAGCAGAATTTTGGCTACTAAGCAATAGTTCCAATATTTTATATAACGAACAATGAATGGTCTCGTTATTTGATAATGCAATTTTTTGTCGGCATTTGTGGCACCAACATTCGAGTAATCGCAAAACATATTATGTTATCTTTTCGGTACAAGGAATTTAAAAATTTCTTTAATCAATTACCGAGCTGACAACAAAGAATATTCACAATTTTTGAATAATATACTTTCATATTTTACTATTAAAGATGGTTTACCCTTAAAGACTCTAGTTTGATGTAATTTTATTTATTTAAATAAAATTCTAATATTAGTGTAATAATAAATTTCTCATCTTTTAATAAGTCAGAATAAAGATTTGTTCAATTTAATATTTTGCATCTGGTGAACACAATGAAAAGACCCTTACAAAGATTTGCAACAATCGTCTAACCTACATATTTAAAATGAAAACATGGGTTAGACTATTTCTACAAATTTCTGTTTATATTATTGGACGAAAGTGGTTAATTTTTATTACATATTTTACGTATTATAAAAATTATTTATTACGTATTATAAAAATATACCGGAACTACTATACTCGCTAAAACGACACTCATTCCTAACTGCAAGATGCAAGAGTCTCGCAAGCTTAGTCTTGTTCTTCCTTAAATCTTGCAAGGTCAGTCTTGGTCTTGCTAAAATTAGGCGGTCTTGGTCTTGGTCTTGCAAAAACGCAAGAACAAGACCAAGACTGCAAGACCAAGACCGATTTTGGGCAACACTACTCAGATGTCGCATTCCAGAATAAAATCCGTTGCTAGTCCTTCATTGGTTGGATTCTCCATTCTCTTCTGGATTAACCCACATGTGCTTTGATAATAGAACAAATACGGTGACTCTTTTATGTTTATGTATTTAAAATAAAAAAGTATATTTGAAACAGATTCATGTGGATTGCCGACCTCCCTGTATCCCTCACTTTAAAGTTTACATTTCAGGTAACTGTTGTTTAGATTTATTTTATTAAACGCATAATTTTGATGAGTCGCGTGTCACAGGTTAATATTACTAAATTAATTTACATCTGACCTCACTCTCAGAGCATTATCCGTGGGGTCCAAAGTCGTTTGAAGTTAGTTTTAGTGGCATATTAAATTGTTTACCAAGTTTAGTTGAAATCAGATGTACGGTTTCTAAGCTACGATTTTCGGCTTCAGATGGACGGAGAGACAACGCAAGGTGTAAGTTATACATGACTGTATAGTTTGACTATAAAACTGCCTCTTGCAAATCAATTTACAAATAAAAAGTACACTTGTAAAATAAAATTGTGAAAAGTTCTGATTGAAAATTAAGTTTAACATATTAATATGATTTAATTCCTAAACTACAATAACAAAATCTATGGACAGAAGACTCAGTAATTCTTATGTAATTGTACAAAAGGAAATAGCAGATTTTTTACTTTCAAATATTACGATTTAAGTCTACTTCCTTTTATTGTTGAAAATTTATAATGGGGATTTATTATATCATTGTATTCATGACACATTTAAAACCAAAGTTAAAATGAAAATTGTGAAGGCTTCAAAACAAAAAAAAATGTTTAAGTAAAACCCTGAGACAATTTTATCCGGCTATGATTACTCAACGTCACCAAATTACTCGTACAATATCCCCACTGAGGTTGATCTTCAAAATAAATTGGAAGTTTAGGTCGTTTTTATGTGAGTCGGCAGTTGATTTATAGCCTAAATTATTTTTAATACTCACGTTAGTAGGTCTTTTTAACAACCTCATTTGCGTCTCGGAAAAGTAGTCCAAATGTGTACGTATAGGGCAGAAAATTTCCTAAATAATGAGAAGTGATGCTGTGATAAGCATAAAGCAATCATTTATAGTTGTAGTTTCTCTTATCCGTTGGAAAACAAATGAGGCGAGTTGTAAAAATGTATTCAATTTATGTGAGCCACTTGGGGGTCGTAAGAAAGTTGTTTTCTTATACAGTTCTTGTATGAAAGATAATTTAAATAGAAATCCGAGCAATTTAGAGAATATCCAATAAAAAGGTATTAAGGTGTAGGTTTAAATTAAATCAGATTTTTACGTTTACAAAAATTTCTTTAGCCCTTTAGCATGCATTTTTGTTTTTTGTCAAAAATAAATTCTCAGATAAGAATTTTAATTCTATTTATACGTAAAAATATTAACCTAACAAAATTTTGGTGCCAAATATGGAACATCATGCATCAATGTAATATTAAAGTCAAACTATTTTGAAACTACAGTATACACTATACAGTATGAAACTGCAAATATCAGTTTCTTTATTTATTAATACACAACAGTATTGTACATTTTGTGCACACTATATATGTTTTCCCTGTACAGCCTGAAAATTTGCATCTTGACCTAATAACGAAAATAATCAAGCCCACCTTTACGGATGTCTTCTTGGGGTATTTCTTTAGTGGGTCCCTTTTTTTGTTTGTTCTCGTACATCTGCTGAATGCTACTACTTGATGGTCTTCCTACTCTGTTCTGTTAACTGGTTTTCAGGCTTTGCATAGAGCATCGGCTATTGCTAGTTTGGTATCCAAAAGGGGTAAATTAAATTTCTTCGCTCTTTTGGCTAATAACCAACAGTTCACGAGTGTTATGTCAATGAAATGAAAAAATATTCGTGAATAATATTTCTTCGACCTGATTTTTATACGATAAAATCCTAACATGGAATCCAGGAGATCTACACCTACCATGTATTTGTTGTAGATTAGGACACTGTTAGGACAAAGTATAATTTTATAAGAGACCGACCGATTAATCGGCTTCGGCTACCTTCGGCCAATATTTAAACCTTCGGCCAAAATTCGGCTTCGGCCAAAACAAAGCCGAAGGTTTTGCCGAAGGTGGAAAAATGCGCTGTCTGTATATTATACTATAGAAATGAAATAATCTCTGAACAATACGCTTCGGCGAGTCTTTGATAAAATATTTACACCCTATTTTCTACCCTAAAACGTTTTACTACTACTACTAAAACGTTTTACAAACTTTCAGGACAGGTAGTAGGTAGGATACAAATTTTAACAATAGGCCAAGATGTCTCAAAGATCTTCATTTGAATATTTCTCACGTAGTAACATTCTAATAATACTTTTATTGTATTTCATAATTCAAGATGTGGAAACAAGATGGAATAGCACTTACCTAATGTTGGAGCCGCTATTCGAACAGAAAGTTGCAATAAATTTTTATATGGCTGAACGTGGTGGTATTGAAGTTCCCAGTTCAACAGAATGGGAATTCATCAACAATTTGATTTCAGTTTTAACTTGTTTTTACCAAGGGACGCTAGATCTTTCAGTCAATTCTGCTTGCGTATCATTAGTTATCCCACTAATAAAAATGCTAAATGGTAAAGTTTCTGCAAAAGAGCAGGACTCTAAGGAGATAAGTTTATTAAAGCTACGACTTCATGAATCAATAATTAAAAGAT